CCCCCCCCCTTGCTAAAGTGTCCGACAGACCGAGGGCGTGGAAAGGGCATAGAGTGATGACAAGTGAAGCTTCAAGAGATTGATTGCCGAGGCAAGGGGTGGCGGCGGCGCATAAGGGCTCTGTGTGGCGGTATACGGTACCTTGTGTCGGGGCTCCGACACCACAATCTCTATTTATCTATCTCCCTTTCTCTCTTTTGCTCTCTCTCTCTCTTTCACACACACACACACACACACACACACACACACACTCACACACACACGCACAGACACGCACACACACGCACACACACACGGTAGTATTCAACTATAAGCGTGTTCGGACGTTTGTTGTTCGCGATTGCGACCGCGAGACCCAGTGACTTACAGACAGACAGACAGGCAGGCAGACAGACAGCCAGGGGGAGAGAGCAGAGAAGGGGAGCGGGAGTGAGAGCGGGAGTGAGAGATACGGGGATATTATATCATGGCATGGGCCGCGCACTCTTTCCAGTTTGTATGCGGGATTCCCCTTTAGGAACGCCCGCGGCCTGCCCTGCACCCCCGCTGCGCTGGCTCCTCCTCCGTGGGGCTCCTCCTCGCGCAGGCTGCGCCGCTCATAACTCTACCGCACCCACCCCCTTTCTCCGCGCTACTCTCCGCCTTCCTGATCTCGCGTGGAAAAAGAGCGTTTCCGGCGGCCGGGCCGGGCCGGGCCGCGCAGTGCAGAGAGGGACGAGAGCCGCGGGGAATGGTACTGCTGTAATATGAAAGTCGCGGACGCGGCCCCCGCGGGCCGGACCGGTCCCGGCACGGTGATGAGGCGATAGAGCAGATAGAGCAGCTCGTGCTGCCCGGTGGGGAGCGTGAGCGGAAACGTACTGCAGTCCGCCATGCGGGGCGTCCCGAGCAGCAACAGGCCAGGTGCGGCGAGCGGGGCGGGGCACCGGGACAGGACAGGACGTGAGTCATGCAGGGTGCTGCTGTCCAGCAGCGGGGAGTGTGGTGTGTAGGGTGAGGGGAGAGGCGGAGGCGAGGCAGCCGGTTTCCCTCCCCCAGGGGAGCCAGGGCCAGGGCACTGCCGGGGATGCTGACGTGCCACTACTGGGAAAACTAATGTGACACGTGGACACGTGTCACAAATGTGACGTCCTCCTTTTTGGTATGTCGCAAATGTGGTGTGGCCGAATTTTTGGTCTTATTTGTGGTGGTACCTCCCTAATGTGGTATGCGTGACATGTGTTTTCTAAACCCAGGTCAGATTCGTTAGATTGCATGGCGTGCCCAAAACTGGTCACAATTAACCTGGTACGTGTCATATTAGTTTTACTAGTGTCGATTGTGGATGAGTATCCGTGATGGTTATTAACAGGTCTTTTTCAAGTCAGCATTTGTGAGTGGGCGGCAATGTAGTCCATTTTACGCTTCATATTCTATTGCAAAGCGCCCCAGCCCTCTCTCCGAGACCATCGCCGCCCCCGTCCCCAGCCGCCCACACCGACATGATCGGGCCGCCGTTCTCGTCAGCGCGGTGCAAAAAAAAGAGGGGTAGTCGCGCGCACCGCTCTAATGAGAGAAGGGGCCCTCGCGATGTGTTACAGGAGAGAGAAGGTCAGAGGTCCCCGCATAGCCGGGTGGGCGTGGCGCGGCGTGGCGTGAGGTGACGCGGCGCGGCTGTGTCGCCTCTTACCTTTTACTGATAGGAACGGGAGGGGCGGGGGAGGGGCTG